CGCACACGCATGACTGATCATTGGGGAGACGCCCCGTTCAGTGATTTTTTTTCGCTACGTATGTCACAGAAAGCAATGGAAGGTACAGTGCTGGCTGGCACATCGGCATGCAGGCCAATTCGCAGGGAAGAACCCGCCCAGGGCAAGGGCCCACACAACAACCAATTGAGCAGTGGAACAGGAAATTCAAGGCCGACCTCAAAGCCACCGGCAGCAAGCTCAACACCCACGCAGCAGTTGGAGACAGTCTGCTTCGCTGCGTTTCCATGTGGACTGCTTCTCCCCTGGAAGGGGAGCGCACCTGCAAGCCCGGCACTTTGCTGGCGCCTCCAGGTTGTCTGGCCACGCCTGCGCCCACGTCGCCAGACGACTGGATGCTTGGAAAGCGGTCGAAGGTTGTGCGCAGGCCAGGAGGGAGGAGATTCACCTATGCCCCCATCGGGATCATCGTCAAAAAGGCGCGCATTCGGCGCTTGCAAACTGTCAAAAAGGCTGAGGAGAAAGATGATGCTGGCCGTGTGACTCGGCGATACTTGTGCATGGGCATGCAGAAGCCAGTCCAAGTACCAGAAGGGACACTGAAAAAGATGTTGCTCATTGTCCAGGCCCATGACGTGAAGACCTGCCAGCAAAAGCTGATTGCTCAAGGCATAATCACGCCGGAGAGCAAGTTCAAACTCGGCGAGTATCGCAAGCTCTTTGAGAAGTATTGCTTGCTGCCACACTTGCCCCAGCAAAGCGGGCGGCTGTTTTGCTCGTGCCCGCTTTTCCAATGGACGGGCCACTGTTGCCACATGTACGCGGCCAGCGAGATCTTGGGCTGCAAAAAGTACAGCTTGCTGCCTCTGCCGCGAGCCGCAGAGGTCCGCTCGGAGACGGAAGAGGATTCCTTGGAACCTCAGAAGAAGCCCAAGAGACGTCGGGTCAGCGCCACTTAGGTCAGTGCCGGCATTTTGCCAGCATGCAGGTTGAGCGCAAGCGATGTAAAAATTGCTTGTTTGCAGCTTTGTGCGCCCATGCAGTGCGGGGTTGGAGAAGGGAGCACTTGGCAGGCAGAAGTCATCGTTGTTTTGAGCCACACACGGGTTCTTTTTGCGATGTCTGTTTTGTGGGTGCCTCGACATGCATGCCGCGGGCGCTGGAAGTCTTGAAAGAACTGGAGGGAGCACCCTCGCATGTATGGAACTTGAGTATTCTTTGCTGTGACTAAAGGGAGCCCCTTTCTTTTTCCGTTGTTTCGAGCCCCAAAAAAGCACAGCTGGCCACCAGAAACACGCATCCCAGCCGACTTTCAAGGAAGAGGGGATTCTGGCAGGGCCCGAAAACATTCTTTGCTGTTGCTAAGTGGAGCCCCTTTCTTTTTGCGTTGTTTCAGGTCCAAAAAAGCACAGCTTGCCACCGGAAAGACGCACCCCAACCGATTCCAGAGAGCAGGTTCTGGCAGAGCCCGAAGGCACTCTTTGCTGTTGCTAAGGAGGCCCCTTTCCTTTTCCGTTGTTTCGGGTCCAAAACAAAAACAAGCTTGCCACTGAAATCGCCAACCATCCAAAACAAAATGGTTGAAGGGCGATGAGACCAAATGACTTGCGTGGATACCATTGAACTGCTTGGGCAGCTGGAAGGTCATGTGAGTGCCTGTCAAAACCTATGTTAAAGCAAATTAGTCTAGGGCATGACATGGCTTTGCTGCACGTGTCTCAGGACAGCATGATACCTTTGAAAAAAACGACAGGGGAACAGAAAGAAACGTTACCCTTGAATTTGGTTGAGATTGATTGTTGCAGCACACAGTGGAACATGCACAGAGACAGGCAGCAGCTTACAAGTCAAGAAGCCGAGAAACCAAGAAGCAATTGAAAAGTGCACTTTGCATACTGCACTTGTACTGAAGAGTTGCGATGTCGCAGTTGGACCTGGGAAAGCGTACTTCAAGCACCGCGTTTGTGCTGAGAAGTCAATATTTTCGAGCTGGAGCAGGGGAAGTGTACTTCGCATACTGCACTTGTTCTGAAAACTTGACATGTTCGGGCTGGAGCTGGGAAGTTTTCTCTGGGTATTGCACTTGTACTAAAAAGTCACAATTTGCGAGCTGGAGCAAGGAAAGCGTACTTTGCATGTCTGTTTTGCCAGATACTGTGCAACGGTGTTGATAAGGTTTGTCTCCCGCAGGTATACTTTCTTGAGATACGAAGAGCGATTTTTGCAACGCCGCAAAAACCTTCAAGAACGATAGGAGGACGCAAAAAAACGATACCCCTTAAGTAATGTCAATAGAATTATACGAAATGTTTTGACTGCTGCTCATGTGAAAGGTCCAGGTTGCAGAAAAGAAGGAGAGAGAGAGAGAGACGGAGAGAGAGGTGAGGACATTGATTGCAATTCAATCCTTTGCGCGAGAGATGTGAAAGACATGAAAGAGAAAAAGACCGGCTTCCCCTGTGAGTTCAGCCAAAGCACGCGTTGCTGAGCTTGGCCAGGATGGAAGGACGGCTGGGCCTGAAAGTTGAAGCCAACTTCAGCCCCAGCCCACGGCCAAAGAGCTAAAAGTCGAGGCCAAAAAGCTGCGCCAAAAGACGAGCCACAGCGTCCAATCAGGGAAGCAATGCAATCGGGGAAAGCAACAAATATTGATGGGACCTCGGGTGGATGCTTGTTGATGGAAGAAGACCCTTTCCACTCTTTGCAACCGCGCGCGCGCAGGCACCCACACACACACACCCACCCAGCCACCTACCCACCCACCCACCCACCCACCCACCCACTCACACACGCACACGCACAGGCACACGCACACGCACACGCACACGCACATGGCGCACGCAGCGGCGCACGCACACGCTCACACCCACCCACCCACCCACTCACACACCACACTCGCTTGCGCGCACACGCACATACACACCACACACACGCACACAGACACACACGCGCGCCCACACACACCCATGCAAGCAGGCACTCGCTTGTCGTGATTCAGGCGCAGTGCGTTGTCGGGAATTCACCCGCAGGCTTGTCGAGGGTTCAACCCCTGCGCTTGTCGAGAGTTCCTCCCTAGTTGTCGGGGCACGATATCCAACGCGCTTGTCGGGATAAAGCCGCCCTCTCGAGCTGAAGGGATACAGAGATGATTCTCCAGCTGTTGATTCCCCTCACCGTCTGGTCTAGAGACTCATGTAGAACGAGTGAATGGTGAAGAGCGAGCGAAGGGACGTGACCAGCCATAAAACCCTTGATTTGAGACGAAATAAACGGCATAACATGTACATCTTGAATCTTATTTAGTACTGAGAAGAAACCAAGGAAGGGGTGCACCGTCGATTCGCTCGTCTCTCTCTTTCTCTCACCTCCAGCCGGTCCAAATCCGAAGGTAGTACATGGTGGTAGCCCTGATGCAGGAAGGTGATCCCAAAAAAGTGGATAAGCCGGCTATAGGTGAATCTCATGGATGGGTCTCTTTTCCGGCTCACTTCACTCGCTCTTGGCTGGCTCTCAGAGTTAATCTGTTGGGACGATGTTTCCAGGGTTTTATCCTAAATGCGGCCGCACGAAGACAAGCAATGGTTCTTTGTGTCTGTACTCTCGCCTTTGGGACGTCTCTGCCCCAACTGTAGCCACCATCGCTTAACCCTTGACTTCCCCACCTCCCCGCTTCAACATGATCTATGTTGGGTTGCATGAAGGCAGTCCCAGAGCCATTCCTTTCTCCTTCACATCTGTGCACTTTCAAGCCTATCAATCATCAACAGCAAATAGGTCATTCTCCTCACCGTCTGGTCTAGGGTTTTCCCTCTTCCCACCGTCTCCTCCAGAATGAATCCGAAGAGCTAGGACAGAGGACAGCGATCACCAGCTCGTAAACAAGATCATGAAAGTAAATAGCTGGTGATGAGAAAATTTGCTGTAACAGTAGGACAAGGAAGGGACGGACGGGAGAAAGAGATAGCTCGTCCCTTCGCCTAAGCCTTTCTAGTTAGTCTTCGCGTCATAGCGGCTCAGCTGCGTGCGGGAGAGCATAGGCTGGGGGATTAAGCCGCTCCGTTCCGTCACTTTCTCTCTCCTCACTCCCTCACTCACCCACAGACCAGTGACAGGAACTCCATTCAGAGATATGTCCCTTAGATCACCCGCCATTACGACCAAAAAGGGACGGGTTTCCCCACTCCCTTCGTTCACAGCCGTGCAAAGAGGCTGGGGCGGCTTAACCCTTCCTTCCTCCTCCAATCCACTAGAAGGATTGAATGAGAGGAAGAACATGTCTCCAGGTAGAATGAGATGATAAGTGAGTGAACGGTTAACACCTATCCGCTATAATTACCAGACCCACCACATGAGATTGATGTTGTACGAAAGGAATCCTAGAGACATCACATATGCTGTAGATAAAGGGAGGTGGGGAAAGCAAGGGTTTTTCCTAGAGTCTCAACTCTGCCGCCGTTCCTTTCTCTCTCACACCTACCCACATCGCATGGAATTACTTTGAGATGTGGAACAAGAATGAGAGATGCATGGCTTTCCCTTTCCTTCCTCAGCTGTATCCAGGATGTACCCCAACCGTGGAAGCCAGCCACAAATCAAGGGTGAACCGATGGTGGCGAGGTACTCTCCCTGTCTCGTGTCCTAGCTCTTGAGATGCTCCTTCAGTTGGTTTAGCATTGATGAAAGCACAGCGTCCACACCGTGGCACTTGATACTCATTATTGTTCAGCACGAGTGCAGGGCTTTATTAACACGATGAGAAGCAACGAAATGACAACATTGTACATTGAACCGACATCACACACACACACACGCACACACGTATTGGCACAAGCGCATGTTTTGAAAAAAATGATGAAGAAAAGGATCAGGCAACATGCCGGAAATGAAATCAAACGTGAGGGATGATTCACAATGTGTGCTGCCCGTTGAAGGCGCTCAACGTGCAGTTCATGCATGTCTCTGTCAACAGTTGCATAGTTGGGTCCCCAGCTGGAAGCCACAATGGCAAGAAGCACCGTGAGGATGAAGAGCCAGAAGACGATGACTTTGAGAGCTCTCTCCGAGGTGGGAGCACTTGAATTGGACGGTGCTCAAAGAACTCCAGAGGTCTCGCAATTCTCAATGAGCCGCGTGCGCGAGGCGACGACCTGACGACCTGATGCACGGCCCTGTTCCCAGGTCACGGGCGGCAGCAAAGTGATGGCAGAGACGTGAAGCTTGCATTTGCCAGGCGGCCTGAGGCATGCAATTGATGCAGCCGTTCTGAGGTTCAAGAAGATGGCCACCTGCAAAGCTTGTAGCTCGGCCAAGCTGCTCAGTTAGGGCTCGGATAGTGCATTCCTGCATTAGCTTGGGAGTGCAACCAGTTGTCGAAGTGATTTGAGCAACCAATGTAGTCATGTTGTTGTTGTTGTTTCCCACTCCCTAGCCAGGCATTTGCTGGGCACGAGTTGCAAAGCAAGTCGTGCATTGCCAGCGATGCCTCCACCAGGCGTTGTGCAATGAATAGGTTTCACAACGGTTGCAGCTTTGAGCTGCCAAAGTCCTGGTTAATTGCTCCGGATTTGTCCAAAGTGTCTACCAAGTATCCTCGTTTTTTGTCACCTTCAGTGTATAGTTGTCGACCAAATTTCAAAGCCAAACAGTAGTACTAAGAATGATTGAGCCCTCCTCTGACGCCCAGTTCGTTTCTAGGCCTTTTCTAGTGACTAGAATTGTTCCAATGTTGCTCAGTACTGGTGCATGGAGTGCCGCTTGTTTTTTCGCAGTTCCCTACCCTTAAGCACATGTTCGGAGATTCCCCATCGCATATCATTCAGTGAGTACTGTGTACAGTCATTTCCGTTGGCTTGGCGTTGACTTTGTACTGGTGTGGTTCTGGTCTTAGTATTGATTTGAGTATCAGTTTAGTATCGGTCTGCTACTGTGATTTTGTGGGCACCCGTCTAGTGTTGGCAGGGCTTGGGGGTGGCATAGCATGTATATTTATTGCTTCGTACCTTGGGATGGGTTGTTGACTCTGAACCAACAAGAGAATGTTTGAATCCCTACTGAACTTTTTGTTTCCGCGACTTGAGAAACATTCTTACGAAAGCAGTCCTGTGTTTGCTAGCTAACATGAGCCACTAGGCTCGTGGGGCCCAACACCGAATGCATATTGTTCCTGTTATTGGCCCGTGGGTTGACGCATTGACCCACCAGCTATTCTCTCATCGGGTGCTGGATTTGCATACACATCCCGCTGCTTTCCTGTTATCCAATATGTTGTGCGCAGTTTCCGTGCCTGTCGCAGCCAGATGGGCATTCTGGGTAATGTGCTTGCCAGGCGAACGACTCCAACCCCAATGGCGTTATGAGCCGACGCGGGGTGCTGGTGGTCGGGGGCGTGCTGGGACCCCAAGCTATGAAGAAGCCCAGGAAGGAATTCGATCGTTTCCATAAACCGCTGCTTCAAGCGGTGCATTGGTCTATTGCTTGCAACGTGGCATTGCGGCCTGCATGTACTTGTAGCACCTGGGCATGTCTCAATTGGATGGACCTTCTTGCCTACACTGTTCGTATTTGCTGATGCCAGCAATGACTCCGCGGAATTGCCTCACTTCCTTGGAAGAGGGCTGACCTTGCCTGGTTAGACACTAATTCAATTTTACGGAGGAGGTGCGATTTCATCAGTTGAATAAGTATGGTTCTTGCTCCAAGTCGTTTTAGTTGCCAATTAGAGGGAAACTGCATTTCAGATTTCAGCAAGGTTTTAGGCAGTGTTGAAGGCGAGACATGGCAACTACGCCTGTCGGAAGCTACAATGCTTGAAGTGCCTGGGCAGCTTCAGATTCAACGACCAGTGTATTTTGGGCTGGTGCAAGGCTACCAGCATCTCAAACACTTCTGCCAAATGCTGAAGCATGCTGACATGCTGCTTTTTCTACTTAACATTTGAGCTCCCTGCTTTGGAGTTGCTCATGAACGACCACAAACCGCAGTGAGTTCTCGTGCTGAGGTTCGGCTCCTTGCCGTTCCCAGCGCCAGAACCCTTCACAGTGCGGGTGACTTCGCCCATATGCGAGGCACAAGGGCAGGCACCGAACCCAAAGTTGCGAGCATTTGCGCTCTTGATTGTGAACTTTGTATTTCGTTCAACTGTGCTTGTCATCGTTGGTGAATATGTGGTGCGCTTCGTGTAAAAAAATGGCGCGATGCTTTGACCTTATCCGAATTGCGTCACAGGTGCAAGCTGTTCTTCTATTTTGAGACTCGGGGTCGTGCAAGAGCAATCCAGGAGCTTGAGAGAAATTTGGATGGCAATCTAATCATAATAAGAAAGTATCATCGTGGATGGAATGTCGCTTCACGGCAAAAGGTGTGTTTTGAACAAGGGTGTGGTGCAGGTCGCTCGACTGGTTGATGTTCAGCTTGTTGGTGGGCTCCAGATTTCAGGAAAGGGCATCAGTTTTGCTGCTTGCCGCTGGGTTATCCGATCAGTCAAGTGAACTGGGACTGGGACTCTACACCTGGCGCTCATGCCTGTAGCAGGAAGAGTGAAGTACTGTACAAATCTCGCCATTGTTCTACGCATTGCGAGATGTATGTCAGAGAATGCTTTGCCATGCTGCAAAATATAGAGTGCTTTGTGGCTTCCGCGCTTGTCGATTCCTTCCACTCGTATTGAACCTTGCGAGGGCTAGCGGTTTGATCGACGGCGTGCAAAGTAATTTGGCATATCGTAAGTCGTCAAGATGGACAAATACAAGGGCACCGAACCCGTTTCTCAACACTTTGTGGAAAGACCATTTTAGTGGCAAATAAACAGTTCAGACTTTTTGCGGCTAGTCCACTCAGGAAGTGAGATTTGAGCTGTGCAACTCCTAAGCTGTGAATCTTATGGGATTCGCTTGAAACCGCATAGGTGTTCTTCATCACCAGTGCAGATTTTGCAAAGCTGCCGAGGAGGGGCTTTGGTCAAAAGCACCTGCCGCAACCTTCGTGTGAGTCAGGGATGGCAGTGGAGCTGCGGAGCATTGTTGGAGCTTTGGGGAGCAGACAAGAGTACATGGACTTGATGTGGCCTGACCTTAGCGCACTGCACCTGCCATCGTGAAGCACTAGGCTACCAGGATTGGTCACTGTTTGTGTTGAAGCTGGCTAGGGCTGCTGAGGATGAGACTGCATTCCTTCACAGCGCTGCTGAGCTCGGTTCCTTTCATGTTGTGTTGATTGAAACCAGTTTGCACAAGTCACAGGTCGTATTTGATTTTTGAGAAAGATCACGCTTTCCTGTCATTGTTGCGGCTGATTTCCAAAAGCTACACGCGGAGGAAGCTGCTGGATGTTGTGCAGGAATATGCATGGACCTTGGCCCACAGCATGTTGGCATTCCGGGGCTTGTTTGTGATTGCGAGTGCGGTGTCGCCTTTTAGCGCCATCCAGGGTTGAAGACGGGACTGGCGCACTCGACTCTTTTGTTGACCACCATGCTAAAGTGCCTGCACGTCGGGGTGCGCCAAGCAGCTCCTAGTGTGCTTGAGGGAGAACCTCATAGTTGGTCACCCAGCAAGTGCGCAGTTATGCATAATTACTCTGTCCAAAGGTCAAAGACCGTGTTGCGCCGTGATCATGATATATTTAACTATGATGTCTTGCAAGAAACCGTAACCTAAGCCTTTGCAGGCAATGTACGTATCCCTAGTGTCACTGTCATAGGAATAGCAGCTCCGCTTTTGCATGCTTTGCCATTTACAAAATTACGGGGCATAGGCGGATGCTGGCCTCTTCACAACTTATATCATCATTCAGAGGCCACGCTCACTTTGGACATTTAGGTCGCTTCGTCAACCACGTGGCGATTGAGCTGCCACCAAAGGACCATTGCGATGTCTGCAGACAGCAGCGTGAGCCTTTTGGACTTTCCAGCGCTCCATGGCCCTCCAAGGGCCAAAACAACGGTACCTGCCAAGTAAGTGGCAGTTGATGGAAGCAGCAGGAAACAGTTTTCCTTTCTTGCTGCCTGGAACGAAGGAGTACCAACTTCCGAAAGCAAGGCTTCAAGCGCCATGCACCCATCTTTGACCAGGAGGAGGCGAAACCTGCCATGTGCATGTACTGGAATAGCATTTGCATCATTTGCAGAGGGTCAAACAACAAGTGTCCCGTTTGAAACGACCGTCTCGCGGAGCTCTTGCTGGGTTCGTCAAGTTGCTTTGCTTTGGTCTTCCAGGTGACTGGTGATGTGTTGATTGGAGCTTTTGTGAATTGGTGGTTTGTTTTTGTCAAATGTCGCAGTTTGGAAGTTCATTGACTAGCTCCTGAATGACATGAACTTCCCGAAACGCATAATATGGGACCCCACTCATGGCGATAGCCCATCCCATGAATGTAAGTCAAGAGAAAGAGACTTCTCTCTACCATGTTCCGGATGTGACTTGCATGGTTGTCTGCTTAGGAAGACGTGTTATTGTTTCTATGCCAGCTTTTGTTTCGTATTGCTTACAGTTTGGCCCAAACGTGTCCGACCGCTACTTGTGTGTTTGGTTGTGGGGAAGCTTGGTACTGTATCTATTTGGAGAGAGACACAGCGAAGCTGCAGGATGCAACTGACGTCGATACCATACAGGAGGAGTGCTGAGCTCAGCTGCCGGGTTCAGGACTATCACTGGCTCCACACCCTCTTTTTGTTGGTGTTTGTGTTCGTGTGTTGCTGAGTGACATTGCAACCAAAGTCAATTTAAGGAACTTTCGGAACTGGGATTGCTCGTCGTGCTTGCAGGTCCAGCGTGGATGTCAATGAGCTGCTTGAAGAATGCCGGGAGGAGATGCTTTGAGCATCACTCAAGCACACAGCTGTTTTGATGTTTACGAGTCGCGTTCATTGCTTCAATTCCTGATTGCCAGGAGAGGAAGAGCCAATTTGAACATTTCCGGAAGGCGTTTGGACTCGAGCCGTTGCATTACTTTTTGTTGCTCCTGCTTAATTTCCTGTCACGCCGCTTCTGACAGGCTGCCTTTGAAGGCACTTGACTCGGCGGCAGCTCAGATTGCATGTGAGCCCATGTCTTTAGAGATCGCTATTTCATCTTTTGTTGAGACAGGCCTTGATATGCTTGCCCAAGTGGAAGCTTGTGATGGATACATTCTGCATTGCTGATCAACTTCTCTTGCCATGTCAGAAGTACCAGCTGATCAGCCTACTTGCCCAATTGTTTTTGACAGTAGTCGAAATGTGTCACACCAAGACAGACTGGCGTTCTATGAGTAGCTTGTAAACTGGATACGGCTTGGGATTTCAGGCGGATTCGCCGGTGGCTCCACCAAAAGGCGCGGTTCCGCGCACATATCAAGATTACGCTTCATGTGTTACCCAATGGCGCACAGGTGTGTGTGTGACTGCAAAGTTATGTTTTGTGTGAAGGAAACCGGCAGCTTTCTTATCACATCTGAAACCCAGCAACTGAGAGTATCATCAGAGCAGGAGAGAAAGAGAGGGGGAGAGAGAGAGAGAGAGAGAGAGACTGGCAAGTACATGTGCTTTACGGATATGCAGACAGAGAGGGACATTGAAACGCAGCAAAGGTGATGCTGCTGGTGTTTGTCATGGAGACCTTGCGGCTGCATGTGCTACAAATTGTTGTTCGCAGTCACTGGGAAATAATGATGGCTTTGATGAGTAGAGCGCATATTTTTGAGCTAGATGCAACTCAGGAAGATTTGCTTGAGCTGGGTCCATGGCAGCCATCATTCTTTCCATGCAGTGCCTAAAGTTGCGTTGAACCATGTTTCACTCTGGCAATGCCACAGCATGCAGATTGCCAGGCATGTCGCCAAGCGAGCCAACGTGAAAATCGTATCACGGTGTTGAAGCGTTTCCGTAGCATCACCGGCAGCACTGCACCGGAACATTCCTTGCAGGCAGATATCTTGTGTCCAAGCACTTGGTTCTCGTGTGGGTGTGGGGAAGCCTCTGAGGCCCTGAAGTGCGGTGCGAAATGCTGAACTCGGCGGCTTTCCTTTGGCCCAAGCTTGCTTCGTTAGCAGACCAGTTGGCAAATAGCAAGTAGCGTTAGCATCACGCCGCTGCAAATTGTGCCGTGAGCAAACTATGTGTCAGCACCGGCTGATTGATATTCGCGTTGTTACAACGGTGCATTGAGTTCTAGAAGCGCTGGCAATTTGCCACGCATGAGGAGATGACACCAAGATGCATCCTCCCAGCCTCAACACATTAGGTTGCGGCTACCGAGAATGCCAAGATGTACAAGTTTAACCACTTGTTCATGGCCGCTTGATTGGCTTGCAGGCTTTACTTGGAGGAGGCAAAAGCAAGAGAGCCTTGCCCATTGCGTCCACTTCACCAGACGAGACACTTAGCCGGTGCGCTTCTAACAACTTGCCGATGCCATGCGCCGCGCCCAGTACGAGAGCCGCTGCGTACGCTGCGGGTGTCCCAACTCCTTTGCGCCTCGACAGCATTCGCCCCACTGCCCATGGCGCTTCCGGACAAGTGATGCAGATTCAAAAAGAATTAGTTGATTGTGCACATTAGGGCCACGCATATTGATAAAAATAGACTCTGTTGCTTTCCGGCATCTTTTGGAAGGGGCTTAGTGGAGGCACCACGGGTGTAAACGCTTTGGTCTGAACAGCCAGTGCAGGATGCGACATCCTGCATGCGGTGCAGACTCCCAATCTCGGAGCGACAGCCCTGGACCCGCAAACAGGACAGTTCGGCACTTCTCACAGCAAAATGATATTCTGCAGAGCTTTTGGGGCACTCCATAGTTTGTCCTATTGACATGTTGTCCGATTCATCAACGATTGTCACCCTCGACGTGCTCTCACTGACGCCAGGACGCTGCATTTGCAGGCAAGGCTGGTCAACATGTTGCAGGTATTGTTCTTTTTTGCTGTGTGCTATGCAAAATGTCCGGTGCATGACAATAAATTACGCTGTTGTCGCAAGAATCCACTTTTCGATTGCTGCTCACGTTTGGACCCAGAACTGGTTGGGGGAACAGCTGCTCCAACAAGCAGTGTACTCAGCCTGGGGGTACCAGTTTTAGCTTTTGCTTGTGGCACTCAAGGCATGCTGCACTGCTTCACTTTCCGGCTGGACATTTTTGAGGCAACGATTTCACCTATGCTGGATGATGATTCCAACACATTGGCAAACGCGCCAGTTATTTTCATGACGGCACTCTGACCACGAAGACAATCAGAACAATATCTTCTCTGGAATATAATATGTATGCATGCATGTGACGTTGAGCCGGATTGACGCAACTGGACTCATGTTATATATGTTGATGCTCATCAGACAAAGTTGTATCAAAATATGTTCTTCTACAGGTCAATCGCGCAGGCCGCGACCAGCTTCCTGCTTAAGCTCAACTATGTTGAAAGGGCATATGCGCCATTCTGCTGGCCAGGTCATTCGCCCTCAAGAAGGTGCCGCACTGACAAGACATCCATGGAAGAGTAATAAATTGGTGTCCTTCCCAACTTGTGCATGACTTGGAGGCAGCATGTTTGGGTGGTGCTTAGGGCACTTGTGGTTGCTTGGAACTTGAGTCTGCTCCTTGAGTGCGGCAGTCGCGAAGTGGGGTCTGACACAATTTCGCCCAAGAAGCTATGTATGGGTTTTCCAGCGCACTTCGGCTGACCTTACTTGACTGAGGTCCCAAAGCGCCTCGCGCCTGATTACCTCCGCAGGCCAGAGCTGTTCCTTCGAATGCCTGCCAGGTCATAATGATTGATACACTCAATGATTGCAGTTCGGTTTTGACATGGCCCACCTTCACCCTACGACAATACTGTCTTCGCAAAACATTGATTCACTGAGAAGCATTTGAACATGTCTTGGCCACCCACATCTTGTCTGTACTGTTCCAGCGGGCACTTCAAAAAATGAAGTGCTCTGCAGGTGAAGGCAAGCTCCGCGGCAAGTCTGAGGAGGCAGCGCTTTGGTTGGTGACCTGCGGAATGCAAGGGAGTGGCTTGAGGGCCAACGCGGCTGCTCTAAGGCTCGAGGTAGGTATTTACACAACCTTACAACATGGCCCGTGATTCAATTCTGGGCATATGTTCCATTTGTGGAATGGGCGTTGCTTGCACAGGTGCCACTGCTGGATGGTATTCAGAAGCAACTCAGGGAGGCAGAGGTGCCGGGCCGGGCTTGCGCGCTGCATGGACCCCGCCCTGTAGGAAAAGTGGACCAAGGTGGTGAACAGAACTAACTTCTTTGAGCACACAAAGCTCATTCAGCAGGAGAGGAAGGAAAAGAAGGGAAGGGAAGGGAAGGGAAGGGAAGGGAGGAGGGAAGGAAGGAAGGAAAGAAGGAAGGAAGGAAGGAAGGAAGGAAGGAAGGAAGGAAGGAACTGGCGTGGCATCGCTGATTTCAACAACATCTCCGTTCAAAGCAAAGTGTGAAGACGTTCAACCCAAGGGGTGGGTTGATGCAGGAAAGTAGGGTAATCTTTGGCTGTCAGGCTTTTTGTTTTGCAAGTTGACGGCTTGTTTATTGTTTGCACTAGATTATTTTTCTATGAACAACCTGGATCGAATTCAGTCTCGTCCTGTCACTGACATCATTCTGACTGACGGTTCTGTGAACAACGTGGAATTCAAATCACATGTTGTTTGTGACTATCACAATGTCTGTAACTCAACTCAAAGCAGGCAGCTCCTGTGGCTGGATTAAAGCCATGCGAAGCCGAAATCTATTCGGTTATGTTGCATATATCTCAACCACCCGCTGCTTTTTAGCCACATGCACGCAGGCCGCACAGAGCAAGAGACGATGTTGGTTTTCTTTCCTTTCATGGGTACATTTGGGTACCATGTTCCAAGGTATGTGAAAATCGGGGCTGAGTTCAGGCTTTAACTATCATTATGCCAACTGACAAGCAAAGAAGTTCTATGAACTGCCGGAGGTTGAAACCTTAGTTTGTTTTTGACCACGACTATTTCTGAACAACTTGTTTGAACTCAGATTTGTACTGTGAGGCATGTGAATTGTGGGCTAATTATTGGCGTTATCCTTGCGATTTATCCCTGACAAACTGAGGCGGGTGTCTTGGCAATGCATTTGTTTAGTATTCGGCTGGAACTCGCCTTCAAGCAAACCTGTAGGATCACTTTGGCATTCTGCGTGGGCGATTCCAACAAGGTCCTTCGTAGGCATTCCGTGTAGGCGTGTTTTGCCAGAATATGCTGTCCAACGAGAAGCACGCAAGAAAACCCACTCATTTTGATGAGACAGGCCAGCGTAGGCACCCTTCCACGTGTCCACACCCGCGGAGGCATTTGCGTACGTGCTTCCAGTGTGTGGTTTTGTGTACCTGCAAAACTCTACCCAACTGGGCATCTAGATCCGATTCTGCTGAGGCTATCACTTTATGAACTGCTGGAAGTCAGATTTGATGTTGTCCCCGCGCTGGTGTCCAGCCTTACTAGGCATGCACCATGTGCGCATTGTCAGCGGGCAGCAATCAGTGCATTTGCCGATGATGCTGCAGATGCCAGTCGGGTTCCTGTGTTGGCTATGGCGGCGCAAGTTGTGTTTCATGGAGGTGAGTTGGATAGCACACTTTTTGTCGCGTTTGCACACATGCCTAATAATCCTTGAGACATATATTCCTTTCAGTTTGTTTTGGCTCGGTATTCCAAAAGTTCTGGCAGGAAGGTTCAGTTGCGCGGCCGAATGCAGGTGCTGCTTACCAACTGCAATCAGACTGCCTGGGGCTTGAGCAGGCAAGAATGATGCCAAGAAGGACACTTGCTAGTCACGGGCGCCAACAAGCTCACACCGATTGAATTGGAGCGGCCATCCACAAACTCCATTACTGCGACTGATTCAGGCTTCAAACCCTTGTCTGACCGCACCTGGCGCATACTGGCGCAGAAAAGAGTTTCAGCCCAGACTTGTCATGAGAGTGACTGCTGCTCGTGAAGTACTCTTCTCAGTTCAGGAGCAGGTGAATCATCTGATTTGAGCGCTTCTGCAGCGTTCAATCTTTACATTTCTGAAGTAACACATGGTAGACAGCCCTGCAGGTACTTGCGAAGCCATTTTGTGAGCTGCATTCCCCAAGACCTTCTGCAATCAGACCAACACGCACTGCTTGCCTCAGGTTGAGACTGCGTGGGCATCGTTTTCACAACGCCTTGCGACCTTCGACGGTCGACTGGTGCGGGGGAGGGAAGCAGGGAGAGATGCAGAATTGCAAAGGGGGACGAGAGCAGTAGGAAGGAGAGGCATGGCTTTCTGCTGATGTATCCACTTCCTGCCAGTCTGAGCTGGATGGACGCCTTGCAGACCTGTGCCAGAGACACCTTGAGGCCAGTTGATGTTGACGAGCCGGCTGAGGTGGCTTTGTGCATAATTGGGCTTTCCTGCTAGAATATTTATTTGCGTTCAGAGCCGAGGGAATGTCCCCACATGTCCCCACCAAATAGAAGCCAATTGGAAAGCAACACCACGCCAGCAAGGCACCATTGTTTCAAGGATTTGTATTGTCAATTTGTTGGTGATGCTTACGCACATGCACCACTTTGTGTGACTCCACAGTACATGAAGGCTCAAACGGAGCTGCCGCAGCCAGGGACTGAGGGGCAGTAGTCATCCGGATCCTTGGTGAAGCCTCAGAAAATCCAAGCCAACCCACGTCAGCATGTAAGCTCGAAGCTCAAACACAAAGGCCTTGACTGTTGATTTGCGGGGGGATTTAGGCACAGTCCCTTCCTGTACTAGAGTGGCTTGCTGCGGAAGGTCTTCATCTGAGAGCCGGGCAATGCCTGACAAGCAAGCAATCAAACCGGAGTCTTGCCTGTTGTGTCTCTGGATGGGACAGAACCGCAGATGTCATCTGGTAGATATTGTGCTTGTGATGAGCGTATACGACGAAGCAGAACACTTTGAGGCATAAACATATTGCCTCGTTGGCCAGTGCTTTGTTCTCAGTTCTTTTTAGAGCTTCCAGAGATTCAAAGCACCAGAGCAATCAGCTGATCTTCAAGTGTTGCGTCCATAGTGGCGACAACTGATTAGTAAACCGCCCCCCCTTCAAGGTTGACAAGGTTTGGACAAGTCCCAAAAAATGAGATTTTTGGGAGGACCCCCCTGATTACTCTGGAGCCCCTTTCGGTCCTCGTCCTCTTACGTCTGGTCCCTTCGGGGCAGTACTGTAGGACTTTAAGAGGCAACAGCATATTTGTTTGGTTTTGAGCCCAAAAGGGCCCTGATTAATCGCTGGGGGTTTCTGTTATTGAGGGGGGACTGGCCTCCAAGGGGGGTCCCCTTTGTGAGCTTGAAAACCACAAATTTTAATAAGGAAAAATGCATTTCGGGGGAAGCATATTTTTGGGGAAAACTTGAGGGGTTCAATAGTGACTTAGTATTGGTGGGTTTAAGCATAGACTAAGCAAATACTAAGCAAGAAGGAAAGCACCTTTCTGGCAGGTTTTTTGTTGGCTTGGGGGCTGCAGAGGGATACCTTTAATCAGGGGGGGTGTTGGGGAGGGCTCAAAAATTATCGGGTAGGGTGTTTTTGGGAAATCTTGTTGGCCCTTTACTTTAGTGTTGGTTGGAATTTGGGGGGGAAAAGGGGAAACCTTTAATCGGGGGGGGGGTTACTAATCGTCTCCTGACATTATCCATGAGTGCGCTACGAGGGCTGCCGAGACACTGTCGCGGCTGGCAGCGTTGGAGGGTCGCTTCGAGGAGAGGTTGGGGGGGGCCCGGGAGCCATGGGCCCAGCAAAAGGATGGGATCGGTGGAGATGGAACATCTCGTTTGGCTTCTGATTTCGAAGTGGCGCTCGCCTCGTGCCTCAGGAGCTGCTCAACAGGCTCAACTTGGATTCGGGCAATCTCCTGAGACTTGTGCTGCGAGAGCGCGAGCTTTTGCGCGGCAGCCTCCGAGTTCATGATAGCCACATCAGTTGCTGGTGAATTGCTGGTGCCTGATTGCCAGGTGTGTGCCTTTGAAAGGATGAACCTGGTTGCCATTCAATGAGATTTGCGGACGAGCCGCAAAGAAGGCAACAGAAGCATGCAAACCTACAAGGTTGGTGAAATGAAGCATATGGGGTAGCCTTAAGCAAGCAAGCCAAGAATGATGTTGGACTGAACTGCTCAGATGATATGCTCTTCATACCTGACTGTATGATACTTTAAGCCTTTGCCAAGGTCCAGAACATGTGGACTCCAAAGAGAGCGAGGACGTGTTGTAATCGGCTTGTCGGGTGTTGCATCAAGCGCGGTACACCCTTCTAGCCCAATAGACTCAGACCCACCACAGACTGCTTAGCATGCATTGCCTGCGCCACCAATTTGACAGTATTTCCCCTGCTTCCTCATGGCAACGCTAAACAGAAACATGGTGTTGCAAAAGAGCCCCGATGATGCAGATACCGGTGACAGACTAACTTGATGCTGTCGTGATAGACTGTTTGGAAACAACGGCCGGACTAAACTTCACAAGGTTGCCGCCGTGGGGGAGCGTTATCGTGTTATGCCTGCCATGTTCCCTCGGCGGGCTGAGCCTGTTTCGCCTGCGAACGTTGCCCCTACCCTGTTTGGGCCACGAACTTTGAAACGTTCGAAAACAATTCAAAACGGTGGAAACGTTCGACACGTTCGAGACGTTCATTCTGCGCAATGGTCGGCAGCATGCGAAGTCCAGTCTTCATTGTGACACGATGAAGACTGGACTGCATGTTGCCGACCATTGCACAGATTGTTGACCAATGTGACTTCAATAGGAAAGTAAAAGGAGTTTGCATTTGTTTGAGTTCCAGTGCTGGAGAGGGCCATAGGGGGTCGGGCCGACTGGCATCGCAGGGGGCTGCCCTTGATGAGCTTGTCAAAGTAGTGAGAAATGGTGTTTTTTTTGGCCATCTGAGTGTTGTGAGGTCTAAAATGACAGCCCTTGGAACTTGGAACTATCACTGTATCAGAAATATGTTCAAGCAGTAGGTGGCATGCAGCAGTATTCGCAGTGGCTTTTGACATCTAATCATGTTTCTTTGCTTTGTCAGGAGTCAGAAACCGTCATCTTGAAATAGGGAATTCTGGTGGATGTGGCTCAAAATCAAGGCCCAACATGCAACCACGGCAAATGGACAAGCAGACAACAACCTGCGGTCCCCTGTCTCGCAATCAACTGCATAACTGACCGGGGTCTCTTTGAGCCAAACCTTGTGGATTTCTTGAAGTAGAACGGGCTGGCAGTTGGGGGAGAAACAGGGACAGCTTCACTCGGGGGGTTAATATCGGTTGTCAACACTGGCAGCCACAGTCACAAGCAAAAGAAGAGGGTACAGGCTCTTGCTTGGCATGCCCAGCACATCCGACCTTCGTATTATGGCATAATTGCACTGCAGGTCTATGAATCAACCGGCCATCAACATGTAGTTGCATGAAGCAGCTTCCCTTGCGCTCATCCCTGGGCCCGGCAAAGGGCCGGAAGCCACAACGTAGTGTGGCTTGGAGAATGGTTTTACCTCTGTTTGGTTCAGACGAGGTCCCAAGCTCTACTTTGGCAACACAAAAGAGTGCAAGTGAATTGATGTTGCAGACAGGCCGAAGTACAACAGGCCAACGGGCCAACATGACTGTGCCTTCTCGGTCTGTTTCACTTGCAACGGAGAGTTAAATGGGATAGACCATGTCTACATGGTGCTCCGCAACAGCGTTGTCGTGTTGAACAACTGAATGACCCTGTTGAATGTCTTGGGTCCAGGGCCTGGACTTCGTGAAGCATCATGTCGATGTGCTTTGTGAGCGCCTTGCTGCCGAGGCTGCCTGAAATTGCATGAACATTCTATCACGCGTGTTCCTTGTTGTTTCTCAAGGCGCATTGTGACGCCGCCTAGACTCTTTTTGGCAGAAGCAACAAGGGAATGGTGTGTGTAGTGACTGTTTGGTACTAGTAGCTAGTGTGACACACACTTTGAGCATGTGGAAGATTGGGGAGGCACAGCAAGAAGTCAAAAATATCATCCCTATTAGCTTGAGTCGCGAAGCAGCGTTCATCCTCCAAAGAAGCCTTCTTGTTTTGTTGGAGCTGATAATCCAGGTATGCCGAGGCAGCCCTGCAGCCACCTGTGATGTGTATTTTTCCTCTGAAAATTCTGGATAAATATAAGCGGGAATTGTGCGTAGAGAAAGGCACCTTTGGGATAGGCCGAGGCATTCACGATCGGAATCAGGAGTGAATATGCTCGCAAACCGCAACAGGCCCGCGTGCGCGAAGCGCAGTTCAGAAGGCTGGAATCCTTGCTCGACGCTGAGCTGGGGTTGGCAAGCAGTCAAGACAGAGGATGGTTTAAGAGAGTGTGCATGTTGTAAAGCGAGACCCATTGTAAAGCGAGACCCATTGAGGTGGTGAAGCTGAGCAAAAAAATACGCGGCAATTGCAGCCCACCAAGTCAAGCACCGCTCAAACTGTTGAAACTCAAGACTACAAATTTCGTGACATGCTGGATAGGATTTTGGCCAAGGATCACATCGCGGGAAGAGTCCAGGCCTTCAACACCGGCTTGGGTCTCAGGCAAGATTTAGGCAGGGCAGTCCGCAATTGCAAATGCTTCGTGTTGCCCACCACGGCCCAGCAAGGGAGTACATGGTAAAAGCCTAGAAGTACCCATAATAGTAGCTTTCATGATACGGGTACTGCGTGCTTGTTGACCTGCAATATCTCCAATTTTCTACCGTGTTGGCACATAGCTGACGCATGCGATGCTACTTGCAGAATTCAAAGTTCACGAAATGCATTATCTGCTTTATTCAGAAGGTGCGGCAGGTAACACACAAGGATGTTGAGGGAGGGAAATACAAAAATGCGATGGCGATGGGCTTGCCGGGAAGAACAGTCAGCCTGTGGAGTCTATCTACCCTTGTTGGGCCTAGGCCAAGACGCTTCGTCACATAGCATCCACGCCTGCCGCCCAGTGCGGAGGGGGCAAGGTCCTTGAAACCGGCTGCAAGCGACAAGCTGCAATGCAGCTTTTGGATGCAATGTGCGTTGGCGTTTGGGAAGTTGACCCAACCGTACTCCGTCATGCTGAGACGCACTATAACCGGTCCAGGTTGGATGGAAGCCTCCGACAGATCTTCAAAGAGGGTGTAATCCTTTGTCGTGTTGTTTTGCCTGTTGCAAGCCGCCCAAGCTTAACAGGACTGGGCTGGCCGCAATTATTTGATTGGCAAGCTGATTACAGAAAGTGTGTGTGTGTGTGAGTCAAGACTTGAGACAGATACCAAAGGCATACGTATTTCTCGGCAAGCCTTGTCTGTCTGATCGCTTGCAGCATTAGATGCTCACTCATGTCATTTGCTTCGAGCGACAAGAAGTCTGCGATTTGAGGCCAGCGTTGTGTCAAAACGAGGCTGGGGGGCGAAAGGAAGCTAGCCGGCTGGATAGTCAGACAGAAATGGTCAATCTCTCCGGGACAGCTCGGATCCATACGTTGCCCTGCACTTGGTTGGGAGTAAGTGAAAGGGATCATGGCTGCTGAGCCCATGTGCCCGCGTGGCATTTATAAGACGCGGCAATTGATTTGTTTGAGCTCAAAATAGCTTCCAGTCGAGGGAAACTGCTCAGTGGCTAAAACTTGGAAGGGCAATTGCCTTGAGACTGTTTGCTGCAGCCCTGCGCTGAGTTTGCGGCAGCCGTGACGACCGCCCGCCAATTGTCAAGCCAGCCTAGTTGGAACACCTGAAGTGTTTGAGGGCGTCATGGTGTAGAATTTGTTTGTGTTGAATATGGCGAGATGGCTGACTAAGCATGGATGGCCGACGGATGCATGTTTCGGCTTGAGCATGTGCCGCGCGTAGCCTCATTCTAGCCCCGACTCTCATCAGTCATGGATGCTTGCAGCAGGACAGTTTGCTTGCGGTGCAACCGCAGCGGACATGCGGCAGCTGCCTGCACGTTGCCATTCGTGCGAGAATGCAGCTACTGCAAGGCAGTGGGCCATAGCATCAAGTCCTGCCCAAAGCGGGCTGCGAACGCAGCAAAGAATGCTGCCAAGTTGGATGACTCTCAGAGCACATCCTCAGAGGTGAGCGCGGCAGACACTGCGGCGTCGAGCTTCGATTCAAGGCGAAGCAAGCATAGCCAGTACAGCCAGCGCAGTCAGCCAAAGCCGGCTGTGAACCGGTTGGATCCATCAGAGCTGTCACTCACCGAGATGGAGGAGCGAGAGGTGAGGAAGCTGGAGAAGAAGTTGCGGGACATTGCAGCTCTGGAGCGCAAGCGCGATATGGGAGCTCACCTGGATAAGCTTCAGCTGGAAAAGCTTCAGAAGAAGGCGGAACTGGAGGATTGCAGCGTCATTCGCAAGCTGCGCCTGGGTTACGCGCGTGTCACTCTGGAGGGGCCGTAGTTTTGTTTAAGCAGCTGACATGATGTATCAGCTTTGGGGTCAGGGCAGAAGGTGACCTTGTGCTTTGTGCAGTGTACAGCCATTGGGTCGCCCTGGGCTGCCCGCGGACTCCATTTTGACCGGCACACGCCTCTACAGACATTTGCCAGCACTTCGCTTGCAAAACGGTGTGGATTCGGCCTATATGCCGTTATACGCCCGCCATGTAGAGGCTGGACGTTGTTTTGTTCATTGCAGTGCACGTGTCTTGCGATTGCGAGCGATGTTTGTCCCGCATTTCTCACAGGCAGCACTGCCATGTGCCCGTATTGTGCCTTTTGTTTGAGACTATATAAATGTCATGGCAACCAATGGTAGTACTAATTGGACCTCCTGAAGTATTTCAGGGCGTCGTGGTGTAGAATTGTTTATGTTGAACATGCAATTGAGCGCGATGGTTGACTCAAGTATTGATGGCCGACGGATGCATGTTTCGGCTTGAGCATGTGCCACGCTTAGCCTCATTCTAGCCCCGACTCTCATCAATCATGGATGCTTGCAGCAGGACAGTTTGCTTGCGGTGCAACCGCAGCGGACATGCGGCAGCTGCCTGCACGTTGCCATTCGTGCGAGAATGCAGCTACTGCAAGGCAGTGGGCCATAGCATCAAGTCCTGCCCAAAGCGGGCCTCGAACGCAGCAAAGAATGCTGCCAAGTTGGATGACTCTCAGAGCACATCCTCAGAGGTGAGCGCGGCAGACACTGCGGCGTCGAGCTTCGATTCAAGGCGAAGCCAGCATAGCCAGTACAGCCAGCGCAGCCAGCGCAGCCAGCCAAAGCCGGCTGTGAACCGGTTGGATCCATCAGAGCTGTCACTCACCGAGATGGAGGAGCGAGAGGTGAGGAAGCTGGAGAAGAAGTTGCGGGACATTGCAGCTCTGGAGCGCAAGCGCGATATGGGAGCTCACCTGGATAAGCTTCAGCTGGAAAAGCTTCAGAAGAAGGCGGAACTGGAGGATTGCAGCGTCATTCGCAAGCTGCGCCTGGGTTACGCGCGTGTCACTCTGGAGGGGCCGTAGTTTTGTTTAAGCAGCTGACATGATGTATCAGCTTTGGGGTCAGGGCAGAAGGTGACCTTGTGCTTTGTGCAGTGTACAGCCATTGGGTCGCCCTGGGCTGCCCACGGACTCCATTTTGACCGGCACACGCCTCTACAGACATTTGCCAGCACTTCGCTCGCAAAACGGTGTGGATTCGGCCTATATGCCGTTTTACGCCCGCCATGTAGAGGCTGGACGTTGTTTTGTTCATTGCAGTGCACGTGTCTTGCGATTGCGAGCGATGTTAGTCCCGCTTTTTTCACAGGCAGCACTACCATTTGCCCGTATTGCGCCTTCTGTGTGAGAGTAAGTGTCATGGCAACCAATGGTAGACTGATTGGACCTCCTGAAGTGTTTGAGGGCGTCATGGTGAAGAATTGTTTGTGTTGAATATGCAATTGAGCGCGATGGCTGACTAAGCATGGATAGCCGACGGATGCATGTTTCGGCTTGAGCATGTGCCACGCTTAGCCTCATTCTAGCCCCGACTCTCATCAGTCATGGATGCTTGCAGCAGGACAGTTTGCTTGCGGTGCAACCGCAGCGGACATGCGGCAGCTGCCTGCACGTTGCCATTCGTGCGAGAATGCAGCTACTGCAAGGCAGTGGGCCATAGCATCAAGTCCTGCCCAAAGCGGGCTGCGAACGCAGCAAAGAATGCTGCCAAGTTGGATGACTCTCAGAGCACATCCTCAGAGGTGAGCGCGGCAGACACTGCGGCGTCGAGCTTCGATTCAAGGCGAAGCCAGCATAGCCAGTACAGCCAGCGCAGCCAGCCAAAGCCGGCTGTGAACCGGTTGGATCCATCAGAGCTGTCACTCACCGAGATGGAGGAGCGAGAGGTGAGGAAGCTGGAGAAGAAGTTGCGGGACATTGCAGCTCTGGAGCGCAAGCGCGATATGGGAGCTTACCTGGATAAGCTTCAGCTGGAAAAGCTTCAGAAGAAGGCGGAACTGGAGGATTGCAGCGTCATTCGCAAGCTGCGCCTGGGTTACGCACGTGTCACTCTGGAGGGGCCGTAGTTTTGTTTAAGCAGCTGACATGATGTATCAGCTTTGGGGTCAGGGCAGAAGGTGACCTTGTGCTTTGTGCAGTGTACAGCCATTGGGTCGCCCTGGGCTGCCCACGGACTCCATTTTGACCGGCACACGACTCTACAGACATTTGCCAGCACTTCGCTCGCAAAACGGTGTGGATTCGGCCTATATGCCGTTATACGCCCGCCATGTAGAGGCTGGACGTTGTTTTGTTCATTGCAGTGCACGTGTCTTGCGATTGCGAGCGATGTTTGTCCCGCATTTCTCACAGGCAGCACTGCCATGTGCCCGTATTGTGCCTTTTGTTTGAGACTATATAAATGTCATGGCAACCAATGGTAGTACTAATTGGACCTCCTGAAGTATTTCAGGGCGTCGTGGTGTAGAATTGTTTATGTTGAACATGCAATTGAGCGCGATGGTTGACTCAAGTATTGATGGCCGACGGATGCATGTTTCGGCTTGAGCATGTGCCACGCTTAGCCTCATTCTAGCCCCGACTCTCATCAATCATGGATGCTTGCAGCAGGACAGTTTGCTTGCGGTGCAACCGCAGCGGACATGCGGCAGCTGCCTGCACGTTGCCATTCGTGCGAGAATGCAGCTACTGCAAGGCAGTGGGCCATAGCATCAAGTCCTGCCCAAAGCGGGCCTCGAACGCAGCAAAGAATGCTGCCAAGTTGGATGACTCTCAGAGCACATCCTCAGAGGTGAGCGCGGCAGACACTGCGGCGTCGAGCTTCGATTCAAGGCGAAGCCAGCATAGCCAGTACAGCCAGCGCAGCCAGCGCAGCCAGCCAAAGCCGGCTGTGAACCGGTTGGATCCATCAGAGCTGTCACTCACCGAGATGGAGGAGCGAGAGGTGAGGAAGCTGGAGAAGAAGTTGCGGGACATTGCAGCTCTGGAGCGCAAGCGCGATATGGGAGCTTACCTGGATAAGCTTCAGCTGGAAAAGCTTCAGAAGAAGGCGGAACTGGAGGATTGCAGCGTCATTCGCAAGCTGCGCCTGGGTTACGCGCGTGTCACTCTGGAGGGGCCGTAGTTTTGTTTAAGCAGCTGACATGATGTATCAGCTTTGGGGTCAGGGCAGAAGGTGACCTTGTGCTTTGTGCAGTGTACAGCCATTGGGTCGCCCTGGGCTGCCCACGGACTCCATTTTGACCGGCACACGACTCTACAGACATTTGCCAGCACTTCGCTCGCAAAACGGTGTGGATTCGGCCTATATGCCGTTATACGCCCGCCATGTAGAGGCTGGACGTTGTTTTGTTCATTGCAGTGCACGTGTCTTGCGATTGCGAGCGATGTTTGTCCCGCATTTTTTCACAGGCAGCTCTGCCGTTTGCCCGTACAACCTTGGAACTTTTGCTGATTTGCAGGGACATTTCGGAGGTTAGGTCTCGATTGGTTGGATTTATGACTTTTGTTTGTTGACTTGCACTTCTGGCGATGTCCGAGCAATGGCTTTGGCTTTGGTCACGGCTGTGCTGTCTTGGCAGGCCCACATCAGCCCAGGAAAGGAGGCCTGCACGAGCCCGGGACTCTGCGAGGCAGTCAGGCGTAGGCAGCTTCTCGAGTTTTGATTTCGAGAGTTTCAAGGCAGTGCCCGATGTATATGTTGCGCGGTACATCCAGTAAGGAAACAAGAATGCGGTGCTATTATTGGTGTAGCAAGGGCACACGTTCCCATGCATTTTAGCTTGTCACGCTGAGGGGGACATCTTTGCGCGCGGCCGGAGAAGTACTTAGTTCCTGGGCAGGCAGGTTGCGTGGCCTCATGTTGCATGCGACCCTGAAAGTGGGTGCCACAGCATGAATGCAACTAAGCCAGATGATGGCTGCGAGCACTGCCACGCTAGCGTCGACGACCTCGCTGCTCGGTGGCAAAGTCTTGCAGAGAGCCCGTGTAGCCAATTCGTGAATACCCTGGAGGGGGCAAACTTGTACAGCTAAGCCTGGCTTTGTTTAGGTGGAGCAGCTTTCTGAAGCCAATGTTGTGAGCTGAGCTAGTGCCCACCGGAAAAACGGATCTGTTGTTTGACGCATCCTGCAATCTACCACGCGCGAGAAGTGGCAATCTTATAACAAGCTGCGCTTGGATTCGCTGCGGGTTTAGGAAGGCATCTCCAGGACCAATCTTAGAGCCCCCAAGTCCGACTACGATTGCCAAGCTTTGTGCGTATCAGAAGTGCGAGCTGGGATTAAGATACTTGCCGCGGAAAACATGAGCTTGAACGCAAGATGTTGCCCAGGTTGTGCGAGTTGGGCCTTGTTATAGATGCATGTTTTTGAGGGAAGCAACATTTGCACTTGCCAACGCAACTTGTGGGCCTCCGCAAAGATGTTCGCCTGAGCAGTCTCTGATTTGGAGATTCGGCACAAGATGCACAGATTGAAGCCTGGAGTCTTCCAACAAGGTCAGGAGTTTTGCCAACCGTTTCTGACACCGGTAGGGCTTGCATTTGGCATTTGCCTCGCGGTTGGTGGCTTGCCCTGCCTGTCCAAGGTTGGGCGTGCCCTACGGGCAGCTAACGCCGAGCTCCATTTCTTTGAGTGCGGGATCTTAGCCGGGCAAGTTGTTGGCTATTTGGCCGCCCTCACCTTCAAGACACAAAGTCAAGGAACTCAAGTCCATTTATCAGTGGTTGCGTTGCAACCAGCCACTGGACGGCCCCTGACTGGCAAAAATTGCTTGGGCTTGTCAGCCATGTTTGAAGAGCTTCAGACTTGTCCACCATCAACCATGAATGCGGCTGAGGCTACGAAGCCTTGCAGCCTGAGCCTTGGCAATTCTACAATGTGCTGCACGACATCCAGATGGCCGTCTGAGGGCCGTCCTAAAACCCCAGTCTTCGGCTTTAATTAGCGCTGAACGAGGAGAAGTAGAAGTTGTCAAAAGCTGTGCGCGCGCAAGGAGCGCGCAGGTGCGGCCCAAGGGACGCGCAAGGTTACAGTTTTGAAGGGTTTCATGTACTGATGTTGCCTAGCTTCATGAAAGGAAGTGATATCTTCTTGCTGTACTTGTGCTTTTCGAATGGGTCATGTGTAGGTCACAAGCTTGTTTGCAAAGGTGTGGTGTTTTCTTCAGTCAGACATTAAACGAAGCCAAAGCTTCTGCGCGGTCATGACTTCAACAATCAGCAACTGACACGACAAAATCCGCGCAAGCCGCGCGCAAGCCGCGCGCAAGTTGCGCGCAAGCACGAGAAGCCCCAGCAAGACATCACGTCTAGCCAGGCTGTCTCGGATGTCCTTAGCGGCGCGGTTCAAGTAATGGATAGGCAGCCGCGACATGCACTTTCCTTCTTTCAGGCTCTGTCCAAGCTGTGTGGCAGAGCCTGCAGTCCTTTCTTTCTGTTGGGTCAAGAGTATGTTGCTGGCCTAAAATTGTTGGGAGGAAGAATCTTTGTGGGTTGCTGTGTGAACGACAAACACTTTGCTCAGAAAAGCTTGCGCGCAATCCACACGAAAACTCCGCAAGCCGAGGTCAACGAAAACGAGTTTCTGCGCCACTGTGCATGCGCAAGTCCGCGCGAGTGCCGCGCAAGTGCGGCCCAAGGGCCCAATCCCGGGCAAGGAATATAGGACAACCCCCATCTGAAGAATGCAAGAGTCAAACAGCGCGCAAGGCCTGTGTATGATTTTGATTAGGAAAACTCACAGGGTAACCCAAGGAGCGCGAAGCCACGGTTCAAATTAGGCAAGCCAAACTGTCAGCCGCTCCAAGCCCTAAGCTTGGCATTGCGTGTCCATGGAGCTAGGCCGTGGTCCTCTGGCAATCGCAAGGCCGCACTCAGGGCTTGCACAGACGCATCTAATATGCCGTGGTTTGGGAACGTTGTTGTTGTGACAGCTTTTGAGACAAATGTGGCAAGCGAGGTCTGGGTCGGGGGATTGCACGCTTCACAAAAGGGGCAATCGGATGCCAAGCCTAGCAATCACATTTGAGCAGTCGTATCCACGCCAGGAAGCTGTGCTGGATGCCACACAGGCAGTTCGGGAATGCGATGCAACGTGTGCAAAGGCTTTACGGCTGGGACAAGCGCACTGGCTTGTACACAAGCCCCCAGAGCAGTGTAGAGCGACTAGCAAAGTCTCCCTGCAAACGAGAGTTAAACGGGACGAACTTGGTTCAAATTCGATTCCCCGCGAAGTCTTTGAGCAAATGCTTTGGAGGCGTATGGGTATCGCCTGCCGCTGCATGGTCATGGCCAGGCACAGGGCAGTACCATGGGACATGAGTTGGTTCGGCCGCCGCGAAAATGTCCACGTTTTGCGTGCTAGCAGCAGCCTGACAAGGTTGGAACATGCTGATGAAGCAAGTCTCTTTTTTATCAGGGCCCCGCTCGTGAATATTGAAATAACATACTGCTGCTGCTTCTTCATGCATGCAACGCAACAGACGCACTATCACAAGCGCCACACACACAGTCACCATCCATGGCATAACATTACATAACAGTACATGCATGCAGACATACAGGCATGCATTGTGTGTGCGCGCGCCAAAAAAGACCAAAGCAAGACAATATTACAGCGCACTGCAGCGCAGCCACACACACACACGGGCACACTCACCCACACTGCACTACACACAATTTGCACTACACACACACAGACACCTTGATACAGCGGACTGGCCTGAGCCTTGCTGAAATGTCCTGGCTAAGCACAACATCTCTTACCCTCTCTCCTTCTAACACGCCAACTGACACGGGGTACCCCCAAGAGAAAAAACATCTTCTGGAAACCCCTCCCACAGGTGTTATGTTTGTTGGAGGGAGGGTACATGTTGCTGCTCGGACCAGGAATCGCATTCTTGTGTATGTTCGTTGCTGGTATGATGAGTGTTGGACGTCCCCGCACGCCAGGGGCAGGATCCTATAAATGCTCGGGCCCCATGGTCAGACGCAGCGCATTTATAGACAGGCTTTGTCAATTGCCGGGGGGCGGCCCCAGAAGGAGATTTGAAAGTTGATGGATATACTGTACTCTACGTTGCTAGCGGAAGGGTAGCTTGCAAGCCCCCACATGCAGGCAGTATCGCGGCTTTGAGCTCTCTCCCACCGTGTCTTTGAGCAGATACTGGAGATATAATGTATACATGTATGTAGAAGTCCTGTGTCGTTTGGCTGTTTGTATGCCCCGGTTGCCGCACAGACTGTCCAAGCCACCTGGCAATGATGCAGGTGGCGCAGGGGGATTTAGTTGTTTGCTCCTTTAGATGCGCAACAAAGCCGTGTTTGCGGCTGACGTTGTCCGGAACTTCAGGCCAAATGGGCCACAAGAGGGGTGACTGAGCTTCTTTGCACGCACTTGTGCGGCATCAGGTGCAGAATTTCGTGCTGAGATCACAGCCCTCACCCTGAGCGCATTTTGTACTTTACAGGTAGAATTACATCAGAGGTCAGGAATGGGAATACAATATTCTTATTCCCACGACCGGTTCCCAAACGAATCCCATCCCATGTCAGTCTGGGATTTGGATCCAATCAAGCAACCAGCAGCATGTGATGTTCTACTGGCACTTCAAAGAGCGTGGAGCACAGAAAAAGTAGAATAGGCTACCAACCAACACGTTTCCCCAAACATTGGCTAAATCACATGAGGCTTTGAAAGTAAGTTGGTTCAGAGAAACATCTTCAACCGTCATTGGAGACTTCGAGTCCAGGCCGGCAGAAAAGGCTGTGGCATGAGGGTGTGTGGCTTCAACGGACCCACAGCCTCATACCATTCAGTATCACTTAGTGTTTTTTTTTTTTTTTTGTTTCGCGATAGGTGTCCGCATCTCGCCTGTTTGTATTGACCCAGATGTGGCCTGCTGGGCTCTTGGAGATTCGATGGGAACTCCGCATTGGCCACCAAAAGAGATACAATTCTTCCAGTGAGCTACATATCAACGGATGTTCAAAAAGCCTTTTGCTGGTTGTAGCTGTTGCGGTTAGTGTTCAAACGGTTGGTCAAAGTGTGCTGAAGCTCCCAAAGTTTGGCGCTTCGGGCTGCAATGTCAGCAGGGCCCGGTGGCTCGATTTAGGGCTTCGACTGGGCTTGGCCAATGCACGAGTGTGACGCGCCAAAGACTGGCAATCAAAAAGCAAGGGTGGCTCGAATGCACTATTGAAAGAATGGCTGCATTTATGAGCATTTTCCCGGGTAGATGAAGCAGTCGTCATGCTACATTTGGCTCTCAGCTTTGCACAACCGCTGGCGCCGCCAGTATGGTCCTTTGTTTGGATGTGTGGTATCATTAACAGCTCGCAATGTGGCTACGGCAGAACAACCTGACCTGGTTTGTCAACGTCAGCAGCAAATGAGAAAGACAGTCATTGCTGCATACAGCCGAAGTTAGTTTTTGATGAAATTCGAATTTGGTTGACAAACACGACTACCTAGCATCAAATATCCCAATGCTTGATCCATACAGTTTGCAATTCATGCAATCAAGGATACTGACTCCACACCACTAATTATTTTGCCACGTGGCATATGGAGCACGATGCCCGAACTCGGGCACGTGCTCCTGGCAAGGACATCTTCAAGGAGAGAGGGACCAAGCAGGAAGCACGCTTTCCCCCAAGCCATTTGCAGGCTCCTCCCTCCATGAGATGATGGTCACAGTTGTTGGGCGTTGCTGAAGCTGAGGATGGAAACGGAAAGTCCACCTCTCGTTCCTTTCTGCAGACCCATGCATGTGCCAGGAGCCTGATGGGCCGGCACAGTTCTTGCGCTTGCTGAAGAGTCGACATCTCGGCTTTTGCGGCTGACCTGCCCATGAGATCGACGGATGGTGCTTGAGAGGCTTGGGAGTCCTGTAACGAACGGAACTTTGATGCCATGTCTAGCATGGACCGGGCTCGTTCAATTCCTGACTCTGGCATATTTACCCGGGAAGGATACCGGTCAGGTCACAACCCGCAGCTGGGGAAGCCACACAGAGGCTGGGACCCGAGAAGCCTTGACAAGTGCTTAGGCTTTTGGCCCATTGATGTTCCAAGTTGACCTTTTTTGGAAGGGAAGGACTCGTAGAAGTAAGGGAGACAGGGACGGCTAGAATAGTTAGTCCCAAAATGCCTGGTATGTGATCTTGCTATGCAGTATGTTAGCAGGAGCACTTCAGGGAGAGCAGCGGGAACAGTTGTTTTCCGAAATTTACAGGAGAGGTGATTGAATCGGGCAAATGCGCAGTTCCGCAAGGAAGCGAATTGATCTCATAGTGGAACAACAACCATTCTAGCTCCGGGCTGTGCTCCAGAATTGCTAGCATGTGTTTGTGCTTGTGTGCGTTTGTGTTTGTGTCTGTGTGCGCGTGCGCACGTGTCTCTACAACCAAGAGGTCAGCAGGCAGACGCAGTTCATCCGTGCTTCCTAAAGAAAGGGCGCTGATCGGAAAGACGTTCCGCGGGAAATATGTGGAGAGGCTCCTGTGGAGAGGGGGTTGAAGCTCAAGTCTTGCTTTCACGAGGTGGCCGTGGGCGAGGCACTCCGCCGGAGAAGCATTTGCCAAGGCTTGGCACAGCTTTTGCTTCGTTGTTTAGGCACTCCTTCACTCAGGAGTGTTTGTTTCATGGACGCTCCCTGGAGTTCAAGCCATTTGCCTGTTTGCAGAAGCATATTTAAGACACTGTGGAGGCCAAAATGGATCTTGTTTGGCAACTTCACAATGATTTCTCACGAAGTGGTAGTGATCAGCTCAATTGATTGTGGTAGAGACGTAATGCTATGCCGCAAGCCCAAACAAATCCACAGCAACGCTTCCAGCAGGTCTGCGCGTCTTGTTGTTCTGCTGCAGTGAAGCCTTGAAGCAGCATCCCCTCAAATAGAAGAGCATCAAGTTGGCATGATCAACTAGGAGCTCTGGTCACAAGCAGACTTGGGACAGCCTGCAAAACGGGATATGTGACAAGAAGTTGCTCCTGCTTTTCAAGCAGGCAGCCATGTTGGCGAATGGCCTGTGAGAGATGCGCAGATTGCTTGGATGTTTTGCACAGGCCAGCGGCAAATCAAGACCTGGCCTCAGCAGCATGCTTTTCCGGTGAAGACATCGCGCTTTGACCTATCGCATGGCCTTGTGCAATCCAGCTGGTCTGAATGGTGACTAAGTTTCATGAACGGACATTCTGAGAGCAGTGGCACATATGGCATCATCGACTGCTGTGTCTGGATGTCTGGATGTGTTCCGCCAAGGTTGAGATCATCCTTGATGAATACCCAGCTGATCCAGGACAATGGACGGTTTGTGCTGCCTGAAAAGCAGAGTGGCATTGCAAAACTGGACGAATGCAAAGTCAAGCTGCGAGAGACGTGAGAGACCGTGCCACTTGGCAGGCGAGCCGAAGCAAAGCCTCTCTGAGTTGGATGGACGAGTCGCCGCTGCCGGGCTCTCTGAGTTGGTGGCGCCCTCAGAGAGCTGTTTCGGAGCCGACGCTTGGGGGAATGATTGGGCCCCGGTGCATGCGTCCGTGCCTGTTCCCTTGACCTTGACCTGAGTTGTTTGCATGCGTCCGTGTTCGTGTTGCGACTGTAGCTGACAGCGAGCAGGCAGCCACGGAGCAGTGTACGCACCTTAGAATTGCTTATGACTCGGCTTGACCCACCTCGTCTAGCATTGCCAGACCAGTGGTCTCGATGTTCCATGAAGGGATGCCCATGACATTCCATGGCAACTGACCATATTGAAGCTCTGGGTGCACATCCCTGATGCTGCTTGCTAGTCACTATGTTTGCTAGAATGCCCGACTCTCAAATCGTCAATGGTCAGGGTTCTGCTACCACTAAGACTATCAGATCTGGCTAGAAAGGACATTGCCCAGGTGCACGATCCTAAGGATCCTTGCAAGCAGGAGCCCACTTCGCCAGTTTGTGAATGTTCCGCTTGTCTGAGAAGAGCATCTACGTGGCACGACACAACAACTCAACGTGCAGGGAGTGAGTCAATCACTGCCAAGGCCCACACTGCTCTAGGAGGCGGGCAACCTGCTGATCTTGGTATTGGCAGAATCTGCATTCGCTTCAGGGCCAAGTACTGAGATGGAAACTCTGGGTTGTAGGTTGCCAACAGAAGGGCATCTGGTCAACAATGAACAGAGTCAATTCCCTGTCATCAACGAGCTGGTAGGGGGTTGCTGCAAATTTGCTGGAGGGGTCGAGGGCCAATACAGCCAATACACTGCAGAGCGCGCATAGGATGCATTGTCAGTCAATGAGTTCGTCAACACTTGGTAGGTTCTCCCGAGAAGCCGCCACTCGACACGTGCGCCCGATCTGATGCATTGGGATCACATTCGCAGCACCTTGCTGTAAATCTCGAAGCTCGTCAACCGCAGAAAGCCAGTGGCACCGTGCCGCCAAGGGTCCGGGTCCCAACCAAGCCGGGTACGGTTTAAGTATGCATTGAGTCTGCGCTCTTGCAGGTACCGATTTGTGCCGGTTTGAAGTCTCGACCAAAACCGCCCAAAGAGCCACGAGTGTACTTCACTGCCTGCCCTGCATGTTTCGTGGGCTCCAAGTTGGAGAGATTGAAGGATGGCTGGGGCTCCAGAGTTGCAGCCGTAGTTGCGTAGCTGCCATGAAATTGCTCGAGCGCAGGTTTCATAAGGGTGAGTGGCAGTATCCTCTAGCAGGATACGCACTCACCATCAAGCAGAGCACCTTTAAGGGTATAATTGTTGGAAATGGGGGCGCCAGGATGCGCTGGGCCGGCGGATAGCTAGCCCAAAGGTGACGACCTCAGGGGCCGAAATCGGGCGAAGGGGGTGCTCAGGACACAGCGAGAAGACACATGTTTGCGTTTGCATTATCTCGAGGCGGAGGAGCGAGGGTTCACTATGAGCACGCCAAGCAGGCGTGCTGTCGGTTGTCAAATCGAGCTGTTCGATCCGTCCCTGAAGGTGACACAGGCAATTTGTACTTAATCGCCATGTGACGTGATGGTGGTGCCATTTATCCTGGATGATGAAGAGTTGTGGTACTTCAGTGTGGAGAGTTGGGGTTTTTTGCCTGGTGCTAGGTCACAGAAGTCTGCTGTGGAAAATTCAGAAGCTCGAGGCACGTGCAAAAGTGGCTACTGCTTCCAGCACCACCTGAAATGGGTTCTCATTACTCACATCATCGTTCTGGCATAATATGTATATTATGCGCGTTACGCATATTCAGAGAGTTGATAGCTTGAACAGGAGCATTCAAGCCGAATTTGTTCAAGACGCATTCGGCAATGTGCAATCTGATCCAGGGCTCTCTGCATGAGTCCGGATCGTGCGGCAAAGGCAATACCGTCACACGAAACATAGTGCCTGCAGCAGTGCACTGGGCTGTGCTGACAAGGGACAGTGCTACATATCATCACGAGGCAAAGCAGCAAAAGCGGCAGCTATGAAGCGTTGTGGTATACGTGGGTCCGCCTGATTTTTCGAGCGCATTTAACATTGCTTGCAGGTGCTTTGAAGCAACAGTGGGGGCCTCGAAGCAAATACATTTGGCAAGCTCGGCTCATGAATTTGCAA